TATGCCAGACAGATTTGAGATCCTGAATATTTTTTTCCTTGATACAAGGTTGGACTGGGCATGAACATAAGATTATTATTTTATTGTTAAGTTGATAATGGATACCTTTAATAATTGTGGAGGGAAAAGCGTTGATGCATACTTTGATGAGATTGATATAGTTATTATCTTGAAAAGCCCAAAATTTAATTTTTGTTTTGTTTGGGAGGAATGTTATATCCCGCAGATAGTTACAGAGGTATTTGGGATAGTAGAGAACCAATTGGAGATAGGGCCAGGTATTATTCATTCTCTGTGTGTATGTAATTCTTCCCAAGTTAGTTTAATGTTTCTTTTGTATATGTATGTGTTCTGAATGGTTTTAATATTAGAGTAATATAATGAAAGAGCAGTTGCTTTTGTAAGTTTGGTGTTTAAGCCAATTGAGTTCTCATGGTTAGTATGATTAAACAGGCAGGGGAGTGGACAGATTCTAATGTTATATCTCTTGGCTAGTAGGGCTGCTGATATTATTCATGAGTCAGTAAAGTAATAAGGGAAACAGATTGAGCAGCACCAGATTGCTTGGGTGGCTTGTATTGATATGATTTCTCTTGAGGTGACGGGAAAGATTTTTGGATTGGTGAGTTTGACTGTCAAAATTTTAATGATGGTGAGATCACAACGGTTTTGAAGTTTGACAATGTTGAGACTTGCTAGTAAATATAAAATTTTATTGAAAATAGTATGCTCAACACCTAATTTTGCTTTAATTGGTTTGTTCATTTTCCTTTGAAGGATGTCCATTTCATTATCTGATAAGACTGTAGTGTTGATGGCATATTCTAATTGTGCTAGTATAATCCAATGAGAAGCTTGTCTAGTTATTAAGCCATTCCATCCTTTTTGCGATGAAATTGCATTAGTGAACTTTTGGATTTTTTTTAATAGTTTATTTTTTGTAGAACAAGATGAAGATTTGTCTGAGAGATAAACTTCAAGATATCTGATGCCCTCCTTATATGGTCTAGGGTAGATTTTTTCCCCTTCAACTGTGAGGAATTGGTTTCTTTTTTGGTTGGATGTTTTGAGACTGGTGATTAATTCAGTTTTTTTGCGATTGCATTTGATAGAATTAAGGGATAAGAAGGAACAATAGATGTTTGTTACTTCTTGGAGAACTTGCATATTAGAGCTTGCTAAGGTGACATTATCCATGTAAGCAAGGATTTTGGAGATTGAAGAGTATTCAGTTGATATTTTGGTTACTACAGGGTCATAAAAGATGGTCCAAAATAATGGAGCTAGGGATTCCCCTTGGTCAATCCCTTTGCTTACTTTTAGGGGTTTGGTAAGTTCATAATAGGTTATTATTTTCTGTTCTCTTTCATTTAAGAGATCGGTGATGAGTGAGGTGAATTTGTTTGGCAGTTTGATACGATTCATTGCTTTCTTGAGGCTGGTGATATTGACAGAATCAAAAGCTTTGGAGATGTCGAATGATGCTACCCATATTTTCTTGTTGAGATTATTAGCAGTATTGATGCATAAGCTAATAATTGTAATTGGCTCAGTGGTACTTTGGTTTTTGAGGCTGGCAAAATTGGATTCTGAGAGAGCATTATGCCTTAGAATACAATTAGCAAGTCTGTCGTTAGTGATTTTTGTGAAAATTTTCCTGCTTGTTTCGATAAGCGAGATCGGGCATGTGTCAGTGAGATCGTATGACCAGACAAGTTTTTTGGATAATACTGTAATGGCTGATTGTTTTCAGAATTTAGGAATTTGATCTGATATTAGAATATCATTGAATAGAGCTAAGATAATTTTTTTTGCATGTGAACCTATTTGGATCCAAGCTTCATAAGGAATAAGGGTGAGCCTGAAGGCTTTACGTTTGAAAAGGTTAGTGAGGGCTTCTTCCAAATCCTATATAGATAATATTGAAACAAGATTATCATAGGCATTGTCAGGAATGTGATTCAGTGGTTCATAATCTGCTAACTATTCGTTATTAATAACAAATGGTTTGGAGTCTAGGATTTTTTTGAAGTGATTGAATATGATAGTTGCAAGCCTGTCAGGGTCATCATGAAGTTGGTTGTCTTCTTCTAGGAGGATTAAAAGATCGAGAGAGGGTTTCAGATCTCCTAATACTTTTTTGAGAGCATTTTTAGGCCTGGTCCAAAATCTATGATAATTTGATTCTATACCCTTTTGTACTTCTTGAATAATAATATCATTTAATTTAAATAATTTTTCCTTGATTAAAGTTTTCAGCAGTTTTTGAAGATCTTTGGTGCAGGGACGATTACTGGTAATTTTTCATAAAGCTGATGAGGCGATGGCTGGAAGTCTTGAGAAGACATCTTCACTGTTATTGTTTTTTGATATATTAATTGCTCTCTTGGTAGCTCTTATGGCACTGGAGTAATGTTTGAGAGGGTCTATATTATGGGTGGGTATTATGCACTTTCACTTTGGAATGTTATTGTCAAAAGAGTTTTTGATGGCGTTATTTATAAAGTCCCAGGTTGGAGTGTTGCTTGTTAGACATGTGAGTTCAATATCTTCTTTGAATCCTTTTATGTTTTCTGAAATAGCATCCTTAAATTGATAAATATTGGTATTGAAGTATATTCTATTAGGTTTATATTCAAACCAATCCAATATAATGGTCACTTGTTTATGATCGGAGATTATGGCCGTTTGTTCCTGAACTTTATATGAAAGTATTTTGCTTGCCAGATTACTAGTGATCCATACTTGATCAATTCTAGAAGTGCTATTGTTTGTGATGTGTGTATACCTATGCTCATTGTTTGTTATTTTACCAATATCAATAAATTTTTGGAGATATCAATATATATGCCTCTTGTGAGCTGTTGTGTGAGCATGTACATGGGGGGCAGAAGAGGGGTACGTGTTAAAGTCTCCTGCAAGAATGATGTGTTTACTAGAGTGCTCTCCAATAAAGTCCTTTAGGGTTTTAACTGCTATTTTCCTGAGGTCATATTTATGGGAAAGATAACATGAGATAATTATAATGTCCACTCTGAATTTGAATTTGAGGTGGATTGCGCACCAGAACTCGTTAAGGGCGAAGGTTTTAAAGACATGATTAGTGATAGCTTTAGTCAGAAGAATGGCTGCTCCATTGCTGACAGAATTCTTGGGTAAGCTGGTAATGATTGTGATATTGTTTAGAGATGTAGAAAGTGGTTTCAATTTTGTGATTTTTGTTTCTGAGCAGCAAAGGATGTATCTATCGCTTGTAATAGACTTGGTAAGTTCTGATACTTTT